GCGGCGACAGAGCTGTCAGAGCAGGCGGTGCGGGCACTGCTGCGGGACGTGATGGCCACTGCTGACCTGGAGAATGTCACCTCCAAGGAGGTGGGTGGCAGCAGGTGGGGGGGACAGGGAGGGCCAGGCACGGCCATCCCTCACCCCTGGCGGTGCGCAGGTGCGGGAGGAGCTGGAGCGGCGCACGGGGCACAGCCTGGCCCAGCACAAGGACTTCATTGACAACGAGATGCTGCTGGTGCTGGCACAGATGGACCGGCCCTCACGCGTCTTCCCACACCTCTACCTGGTGGGCAGTGGGGCGGGAAGGGTGGGCAGGGTGGGCAGGGGTGTCCCCACCCCTCACCGCTGTCACCGCACAGGGCTCCGAGTGGAACGCGGCCAACCTGGAGGAGCTGCAGCAGAACAAGTGAGTGTGGGATGGCACGGGGGCATCTGGGGTCATGGTGGGGTGGTCATGGGGTCATCTAGGGTGCCACTGGTGTGGCATGGGGTCTTTGTGGACATGGGGGCATCTGGGGTGTCATGGGTGGGTATGGGGTCATCTAGGGTGGCACAGCAGGGTGGACATGAGGGCATGGGACCTGGGGTGGCATGCTGGGGTGGGCATGAGGTCATCTGATGTGACATGGTGAGGTGACACAGGGTCATCATGGTGTCATGGTGGGGTGGGTATGGGGTTATCTGGGGTGGCACAATGGGGTGGGCATGCGGTCATATGGTGAGGTGGCACAGGGTCATCATGGTGTCATGGTGGGGTGAGTATGGGGTTGTCTGGGGTGGCACAGTGGGGTGGGCGTGGTGTCAATATGGGGTGGTGTGGCATGGGGTCAGCTGGAGTGTCATGGTTGCATGGTATGGGATCCCATCTAAGTTGGGTGTGGGGTCATCTTGGCATGCCATTGGGGTGGGCATGGGGGTATCTGGGGTGGCACAGTGGGTACGGGGTCATCTGGAATGTCATGGATGTGTATGGGGTCATCTGGAGTGACATGGTAGTGTGGCATGGGATCATCTGGCATGGGATCATGGTGGGGCAGGTATGAGGTCATCATGGGACACCCGTTGGGGTGTCACCTTTGTCCCCACAGGGTCACTCACATCCTGAACGTGGCACGGGAGATTGACAACTTCTTCCCGGCGCTGTTCACGTACATGAATGTGCGGGTGTATGACGAGGAGGCGGCCCAGCTCCTGCCCCACTGGAATGACACCTTTCTCTTCCTCTCCCACGTTCGGTCAGTGGGGCCAGGGCAGCCCCAGGGCATGGGGGGGACGCTGGGGGGACA